AGGGTTTAGGGTTTAGGGTTTAGGGTTTAGGGTTTGGGGTTTAGGGTTTAGGGTTTAGGGTTTAGGGTTTCCGCAGCGTGTAGTAGTTTGCTTCGCCACATGCAGCAGAAACGGTTCTCTTATCTGTCGCTGTTGCTGCAGCAACTGCTGCTGCTTCTGTTGTTGCTGTTGCTCTTGCTGCTGCTGCTGCTGCTGCTTCGGTAACTGCTGCTGCTCGCTGCTGCTGTTCTGTGTTGCTGCAGCTGCAGGCCGCCTGGATTGCGTTGCTTCATTCGGCCCCAAAGAATGGGTATGACGACGGTCTAGGGTTTAGGGTTTAGGGTTTAGGGTTTAGAGTTTAGGGTTTAGGGTTTAGGGTTTAGGGGGCAGGAGCGATGGTGTATAGACACAGCATACCTGCCTGTACACCTGAACTGCATGCATGCGTAGCCTTCACAGCACCAGCGCCCTTGTATGGCCCCCAAAACCCTAAACCCTAAACCCTAAACCCTAAACCCTAAACCCTTGGTGGTTTTGTTGTTAACAGGATTTGGCTGCTGGCTGTCTCATCCTGGAGGAGGCGGGGGCCGTCTGCAGCGACATGCAAGGCAACCAGCCGGTCAGCAGCAGCAGCAGCAGCAGCAGCAGCAGCAGCAACAGCAGCAGCAGCAGCAGCAGCAGTAGCAGGCTGAGGGAGGCAGTGCCTGTGGTTTTTTGTTTGTTTGCTTTTTTGTTTTAGTTAATACAATTTATATATCTCCCTCTCTCTGTATATATAAATATTAATATATTTATATTTACTTTTTATTTATATTTATATTTTTTATTTTTTTTTGTTTTTGTCTGCAGTTGGTGCTTGCTCGTCACCAAGTCTTAGCTGCAGCTACACCGCAACTACTGGCGGTTTGTGTGCAGCATCTGAAGGCCCCCTAATTTTCCTTTTCTTGGGGCCCCCCCCCAGGGGCCCCCCCCAGGGGCCCCCCGCAGCTCGCGGGGCCCCCCCCGGCTGGGGGGGGCCCCCTGGCTCTGTAGGGGCCCCCCGTCTGGCTGAGGACGACAGTAGGCAGGGGGGCCCCCCTCTATACCCTTTGCCTGTGTTTTGTATTGTGCGATGGGGGCCCCCCTGTTTCTCTACCTTTGAATTGGTGCTGGGGCTGCATGCAAATATAGACGCTTTCTGAGAGTCTATGTATGCATATACAGCTGAAGCTGCTGCTGCAGGTGCTGCTAGAGCTGCTGCTGCTGCTGCTGCTACAGATATGTTTGTCCCTTTCTGCTGCGGTGTATGTACACCGCAGCACAACCATGCTTCAGAGAGGGAGCCAGGGGAGCAGCGGCTCCTCCTTGTGTTTAATTAAGTCTTTTAGTTGTTTTGTTTGTAAGGGGAGAGAAGAAATGCATGTAAGCGCATGCAGCTATACACACTGCAGCAACAAAAGCTTGCATGCACAAACCCCAAACTCTAAACCCTAAACCCTAAACCCTAAACCCTAGCCACGAAAGTGCATAACACAGGACGCATGCAGCCACGAGCAGCAGAAGAAGAAAAAGCAGGAACGAGAGAAAAAGAGATATAACGAAATAAAGAGAAGGTTGCTGCTTCTTTCTCTCTCATTCTCTACTGACAACGTTTGCGGCTGCAACACGTGCTGCAGCTCCCTCACCCTAAACCCTAAACCCTTGCATGCAGATCAAAGTCCCAGGAAAACCCAGAAATGCACGCTTTCTCTGTCTAAACCCTAAACCCTAAACCCTAGACCCTCTTGAGTGGGCCAGCCAAAGGGCGGCAGTACGAGCTCTGCGCTTAGGGTTTAGGGTTTAGGGTTTAGGGTTTAGTGTTGCAGGGGGTGAAACAAGAAGAGGCAAGAAATGCAACGAAGTATATGCGGGGTGTATGCTGGTGGTGTGTGCGTAGAGAGCTTACTTAAGGGTCCAGCTACAGATGTTGCGTGCATAAACTGCTAGCTGTTCTGCTGCGCTTTATGTTTAGCTTTTGTTTTATCGTTATTTGTTTTTTTTCTCTGAATTTCATATTTAGAGTAGAAGGAAATAGGTAAACAACGCATGCGCTACGGTGTCTAGGCACCTCCGCGGCGGTGGTCCGCGGTGCTGCAGGAGCGAAAGCAGCGGCACATCCCTTTATAAAAGCTGCAACTGCATTTGTTTCCTTTTATTTTTGACTAAAAATTAATTTTAAATTATAACTCTCGGGGAAAGCTGAAGAGGACTCGGCGACACGAACGACTAGCTGCAGTCTCGAGGGCCACCGGTCGCGGTAGCTGACGAGAGGAGAGGGTTTTTTGTTTTATAAACTAGCAGTGGTTGTATTTAATTTACTTTACTTTTCATCCCTTTTATTGCTTTTTGATGAATTATAGTACTATATTTTCGGGGGAAGTCGCATTTGTAGCAGGGGAGCGCGGAGGCGGCTGCTGAGCTGTGGGCGGCTGGTCCGCGTCGGCGGCAGTGGAAAGCTGCAATGAAATGGCGGAATACGGAAATTAAAACAGAGTAAAGGTAAATTTAGATGAATATTTTTGAATTGAAGTGTTTTTTAATTAAAAATATTCATAAATAAGCCGTTTAGCCTTTGCTTTCCCCCCCGCTCCGCTGCTGCAGGCCGGCTGCTGCTTGCAGCAGCAATTCATGAACGGCTCGATGCTGCAGCAGCACTCGTATGTGGTTTTTTACAATTCACATTCCTACAGTACTGCTCCTTTCGTCTTTTTTTCATCTTCCTTTGTTAAACAAGAACCATATTCCACCAGGCAGCATATATACGTCAACTTCTGCCTCGAGGAAACAGTGAGTTTCGGGTGTATAGCCAGCTTTCGCCACTCGTCGTCGGTTCAGTGTTCGTCGCCATACAACGCCCCTCTTGTGTGTTTTCTTTTCCTTTTTTCTGAGTTTCTCTATCAACTAATAAACTCACCTTTTTATGCTCCTTTTCATCTTCTGAATGATCACAACACAGCAGCTCGGTAACCCAAGCAACTCGCTGCGGCCGACGCGGTGGCGCAGCCGTCAGGATTTCTTACCTCTGCGTGTTGCATGAAAATACTGTTGAAGTGTTTCACGAGTTTTTGTTTTGCCTTTTTGCTTTCTCTTTACTCTTATGCTGAGAAGATTCCTCAGTTTCCCCCCTTTGCCTGTCTGTACAACTCCCTCCGATCGCTTGCTGCTCTCGAGAGTTCGTCGTCAATGCAGTGGTGCCTGCAGTGCCTAGCTCTGTATCTGTATTTCTTTATTTTGTTTCCCAGTATATTCAGTTTCTTGTATTACTAGAAGGTTTCTTTTTGAGTGAATATTGTGGCTTTCCTCTCTGTATGGCGGCGGTGTGTGCAGCACTACGTAAGCTGTGTTTGTGTGCGGAGGTATATCGTCTCATGAGTTGCAGAGTAAGTAATATTTTTTATTTTTTTTTGTTTTTTTTGTGTTTTTTGCAGAGAAAATGAGCAAACGGGAGGATGTTACCACCCCGGAGGAGGGGTTGGACGTCCTCGTACAGCCGCTTCCTCATTCCTCCCGCCCCATTGACACTGTTTCATATATTTCAAGAGAAGGTGTAGAGTATCCTGGTGCCCCAGTGAGTACAAGCATGCCCCCCCCTCACGAGCCTTCATCAGCAGAAGTTGGTGGTGTTGCTGAGGGTACAGTATCGAGCTCAAGAGAAGGTGCTGCTGCTGCTGCTGCTGCTGCTGGAGCAGCAGCAGAAGGAAACGAAGATGAATTTGTTCCCGGGGTTAGTAGTGCTTCAGCAGCAGCTCTCCACACAACTGTACCCTGTGCAGCAGGAGCAGCAAGCAGGCCTCCCCCTCAAGTAATGACGGCACTAGGACCTATGCCTCTACCCCCAGAGATACGTCGGCGTATACCGGAGAAGTTCGTTGCTCGACCTATAATAGAAGAAAGAGAAATATATATAGCAAAGAAAGAAGTACAAGAAAGAACAATAGAGGTACCTCATGTACACTATCAACATAAATTTGCAGAAGTTGCAAAAAACTTAAAAATTAAAAAAATTGTACCCACTATAACAGAAGTTATAAAAGAGGTTCCGCGTGAGGTTTATAAACCCGTAATCGAAGAAAAAGTAATCGAGGTGCCGCAGGGGGTTAAGTATGTAGAGGTTCCCGTTGAGGTCCCCTGTCTATACCCCCCAAAGATAGTGCCCCGGCCGAAGGTACAAGTGGTTGAGCGAGTGGTCGAGACGGTCAGACCAGTGGTCACGGAGAAGGTTATAGAGGTGCCGCAGACAGTGGTTAAACAAATACCCAAAATAAAAACTGTAGAAGTACCTTACTATGTTCCTCGTTATATAGAAAAAATTATCGAGGTACCCTATCAACCCCCGGATGCTGCTGCACTGCCCCCTATACTAAGTGGGGCCCTCCCCTCAGGCATAGCAGCAAAGATGCCGCTGCCGTTTCAGTTGGGGCCCCTACCCCTCAGCAGCATGAATACACTCAATCTACCTTACGAGGCGAAGATAGATGTGAGGATAAGTCAGCAGCAGCCAGAGCAGCAGCAGCAGCAGCAAGGACAGCAGCAGCAGCAAGGACAGCAGCAAGGATTGCAGCACCAACAAACATCCTGTACCTTACCTGGGGGCCCCCCAGGGGCCCCTGCTATTGAACTAGTACAAGGGTTTAAGTGGGGCCGTCCCCCGAACGCTCCTCCTCCTCACGGTGTATCCTCTTCTCCTTTCTGCAGCATTCCTGGTTCTGCTGCAGCAGGCTATACAACTGCTGCTGCTGCTGCCGGTGCTGCTGCTGCTGATGGTGACCCACGCATGCGTTGCATGCCGCCACTGATGGTGACCTGTCCCCCTGAAGTAGGAGAAGTGAATTTTTGTGGTTTTGTTGCTGAGCCCGATATATTAACAAGAGAAGGAGTAATGGCTTACTCTGGCTTTCGCACAAAAGGAAACTTTAAGATGCTCTTCCCCCCGCTGGCGCAGCAGCCGGGTGTACCGATGAGGCCCCCCGGTACCCCGGATATACAAACTATAGAGGAGACGCATTTCTATCATTCTCATAATAAACATATGCAGCAACAACAAAATATACAAATCGATGCTATGCAACAAAAAGCAGAAGAAATAGAACAACAGTATCAACAAACACACACAAACTGGTGCGGACAGACAGTACCTGAGCATGCAGGAACTGTCTATGAACAGTAAACATATACATATATATATATATATATATATATATATATATATATATATATATATATATATATATATANATGTATGTATGTATGTATGTATGTATGTATGTATGTATGTATGTATGTATGTATGTATATGTATGTATGTGTGTATATGTGGGTATATATTCTCTGGTGCATGCATCTATGCATGCAAATCTATCTCGGGATTGATAGGCTTAACTCATCTTATGGCGTTGATGCTGCTGCAGCAGCAGCAGCAGCAACAGCAGCAGCAACAACAACAGCAGCAGCAGCAGCAGCAGCAGTAGCTTCGTGATCGATGCTGTTGTGTGTTCTCGCTGGGGAGGCGGAAACAATGTTGAGGAGGGAAACTGCAGCAGCACATACATACGCGCATGCAACAGCAGCAGCAGCAGCAGCAGCAGCAGCAGCAGCAGTAGGAGCAGCAGAAGCTGTATGATCAGCATGGTTTTTTGTTGTGTATGTTGCATGCGTTCTTTCTGTCTTTTTAACTTCATTTGTCTCTCTATACATTTCCCTTTATTATTTCTTGTTTCTCTATCTAGAGAGAGAGGGGAGAGGATAGCGGCGTCTGTGCTGCAGCAGCAACAAACACCCAGTTTGCTTCTGCTGCTGCTGCTGCATGCAGCAGCAGCAGACTCTCTTTTTCTCTCCTCCTCGTCACCCTTAACTCAACCAACTGCATGCACTCGATGCAGTTCTTCTTTATTTACAAACTACAGATCACAGCCCTTGAACACGCATGCATGCATGCATGCGTGCATGCATGCATGCATGCGTGCTTGTATGCTTGCATGCGTGCATGCATGCATGCGCTTTGCTGCATGCATGTTTGCATGCATGCAATATTTGGGGCTGTTTCTGAGGATTTATGAACAGCGGTTTGTTTGCTGAGCCTTTTTGGCTGTTTCAGGTTTATTTATTTCGTCTTCTGCCTCGAAATAAATAAATAAATAAAATAAATAAATAAATAAAATAAATAAATAAATAATATATTAATTAAATAAATTAAATTAAATAAATTAAATAAATATATAAAACGGTGTCTACATATACACCACAAAACAGATATGTTGCTGCTGTTACTATAAAAAACCCAATAGCGATCGATACAAACAAACGCTGAGCTGTACGTACACCCGAAAACACAAAGAGAAAACAAAACATACGCCAACAAACTAAACTTTATTAAATATTTATGTATTGCATCAGTGGGCGTAAGATATTCATAAAGTGCTTATAGAGAGCCAGCAGAGCTCGCTATACACCGTAGGGTGTATGTGCAGAA